CTCCTCCTCCTCCTCCTCCTCCTCCTCCTCCTCCTCTTCACAAACCCATCTCCCTTCTAGACCTGATGATGTTCCCTACATCAGTCCTGCAATTATATTCCTTTTAGAATTTTGGCCTGCCACACTTATGCTGTTTCTTTAAGTATAGTCAATGGGAGGGGGGAATAGACAGGAGTGAGATTGTGGAATGTATTGTTGTCATTCTTTACTAGAAGCTCAAGGTCATCCTTTGTGTCCGCCCCAGTACACCTGACCGGAAGCAGCTGGGTGTGGATGCCAGGCTGGAAGAAGAAGATTGGACCATGTGATGGATTGTGGGTGTGGGGACAAGATCATGAACTTTTAACTGGGTGGGATTCCGATGTCATTTCCAGTATTGGGATTAACACAGGTGTGACTAAGATGTCTGTCTTATTAAATTGGAACAAAAAGGATCCTTTTGCCTTGGACTCTGATTTAATTCTACATGATACTTGGAACGCTGACACCCTAGTTAGCTCATGAAACGTCTGCAAGAAAACCACCAAGCTCAGAGAACACCAAGGGCCCCACAGTCCTCCTCTTCCTCTTCCTGCCTCCTTCTGATCCCCCCTCTTCTCCTCCTCCTCCTCTCCACAAATCCCTCTCCTTTCCAGCACTGATGATGTTCCCTAGCTTGGTCATGAAACATCTCCAAGAGGACCACCAAGCTCAGAGAGCCCCACAGTCATAACCATCATCATCATCTTCTTCTTCTTCTTCTCCTCCTCTTCTCCATAAATCCCACACACACCCCTAGCGCTGATAAAGTTACCTAGTTGGATCATGAAACGTCTGCAAGAAAACCACCAAGCTCAGAGAGCACCAAAGACTCCTGGTTTCAACCCCGAGCTACAAATCTTCTCCTCTATCAGTCGTAACAAAGCTGAGAAGAAGGACCTTCCATGATCCAATTCAAAGACCCCCCCCTCCCATTACAACCAAGGGCTCCTCACTCACCACATCTGTGTAGGCTTCGGCCATATGGATCCACTGGCCTCCTGGGAGTCGGACCTGGTTCTCGAACACTTCCTCCAGGAAGCTCATGTGACCTGCGTCCACGTCATGCAGCAGCCTGAATTGGGGCGGGAGGGAGGGGGGGCATGACCCTGACTCCTTTCCCCCTTTTCCTCTGCCCCTAAAAAGACCATGGTTCAACGGGAGCCCTCCTGACCTCTCACCCTTGGCCTTGGGACAAGGATGCCCCCGCCCCCAGCCCCCCCGGTCATCCTTGGGTTGGCAGGAGAGGGCAGAAGACAGTTCAGGCAGAAACTGGGTAGCCCCCCCCCCAAAAAAAAAAAATGTATTTCTGTGCCTTATATTTCTTAAAATTCAGAGTGGAGACATCTTTCATCATCATCATCATCATCTTTGTTCTTGGAAGATGGGTCTCCTCCTCCAGATCATGAGGATGAGGATGAAATGACGACCTTGATGATGCAAAGAGGAAGTCTTTAAGTAACTAGGTGACTTAACTAGGTGTTAGTTAAGGTTAGTTAACTAGGTGTAAGATTTCTGAAAGTTCTCCAATGGATTTTGCATTATTACCGGTTCTGTGGGCGTGGCTTGGTGGGGTCATGTGACTATGTAGCCCTGTAACTGGGGGATCAAAAGACAGAAACTCACTTCAACAACGTCCTGCTGGAGCAGGGGGTTGGACTAGATGACCTCCAGGTCCCTCCCAGCTCTGGATTATCCTCTGAAGTTGTGTCTAGTGCCAGGTTTGTAGTCTTTCCTTCCTCTCCTTTTTCCCTCCCTCCCTTCCTTCCTTTTTCTTCCTTCCTTCTTTCTTTCTCTCTCTGCCTCTTTCTTTCCTTCTTTCTTTCTCAGCATTCCCCACCCATTTTTTGACCCTCCCACCCCCCTGTTTTTGGCTGTGTGACGTGCAATTATTGGAACCTTTTTTTAAAAAAATTTTTTTAGTATTTTTTACTACCAGTTCGGGTGAAAAAGCCCGAACTGGTGGCATTTGACCCCTGATTTTGCATCTCCTTCACTCAAAAGCAGAAGCTGAATCTGAATTCAGATTCTGATCCAGATTCCTCTTTCCCACCTTTCTGTAACTAAATAGCGGGGAAAGCGATGCGAAAAGGGTCTGGACCGCAGCTCTCTCTGAAAAGGAACCAACAAATAGAGACCTGACAGGGCCCGGGATCCTCCTGAGGGTGACTGAAGGGCTTTTGGGGGGCTCGGGCAAAAGGCTGGCCTCTCCAGACTGGATCAGAAACCCACCCACCCATTCCCAGGCACAGCAGCCCACCGAAAACGGTAAAAAACACCCAGCCCTGAGCCCACGAGAAGGTGATTCTCTTTGGTGAGCCCCTTCCCCCATGGCCTTCTGCATCCCCCTCCCCAAATTCATAGGTCCTGCAAAGCCCCCCCAAACCCCGTCCCTTTGTCTATGGAGCTTCTCTGTCACCCAGTTTGTCCCAAAAGTACTTTTTCTCCCCCCCCAAAAAAGGCAACTGGACTTTCTGGTAGTTTTTTTCCTTGAAACCATTTGGCTTCTCGTCCAAGAAGCTTCTTCAGTTCTGACCAAATGGTGGAGGATGGAAGGATTCGCTTTCCTTGCAGTCCTCTGGTTGTTGGTCCTCCAAATAGCTTTTATCCCAGAGCTATCATTGCACTCAACAATGAACCAAAGGGCCATCAGTGAACTGTTGGGACAGCACAACTTGGTCTGTTGTGTGGATGCTTGGGGGGTTTAGGGGCGGGGATTTTTGGGTGGGGGGGTGGGGGGGTCTTTGGGGACTGTCATGTGTGATGGGCCTGGTCTCCAGGTGTTATGTGAATGTCACTGTGTGGGTAGACTGTGCCTATACACACAATGACAATAAAGTATTATATATCTTCTTGGGTGAGAAGCGAAATGTTTTGAAGGAAAAAAGAACCAAGAAAGTCCAGCTGCCTCTTGGAAAACCACTTTTGGGTCTCCAGGGGGCCCAGCAGGTTCCTCCGTGAGAGACCAATGCACCAAGGCAGCCCCGTAGGGTGGTCTGGGGGGAGGGGTGAAAGGACGGAACGACCCTCTGCTGAACTAGGAAGGCCTGGAACCCTGCATGGCCCAAGGAAAGCGAAGAGACCTCCCGCCATCCGTCACTCACGTCTTCTCGGGGCTGACAAACCAATCTCCAGCCCAGGCCCAACCGGTGGACGGCTTGAAACTGTCCTTGGGTAGCTTGATCTTGGCGGTGATGTCCGAGTACTTGGGGTAGGTGAGACCCGTCGTGCCCCAGTTCCCTACCAAGGCCAGCTTGGTTTGGTTTTCATACTAGGAGCCAGAAAGATGAGAAAGAGGGTAATGGGGGGGGTGAGCAAATGGGCAAGGCCCCTCCCCCAAAAAGCACCCGCTCCGAAGCCAGAGGAAGGAGGGGGGGTGTCCCTCCAGGAGCGACAAGGCAAATCAGCCTGGAGTCCTTGATGTGTAAGGAGAGAGCCAGGGCGGACACACAAACACACACCTCCCTTCACACAGCACATCTGCCGGTTATGCAGACTGTGCTTTAGTCTGGCAAGATCCCTGTCTGTAGGCAGGCACCCATAAAGAAACGACTCTGAACAAATCCTCAACCGGCTCTTGGTCCCTTGCACCTGCTGACGGGACCTCAGAGGGGAGCAGTGGACTTTTTGGGGTCTGCAAACTTGAAAGGGAATTTTGCGGGGTGGGATTCTATTCAGTGCAGTGGGGAGAAAAACAATGAATGATCAACGATTGAGGGCACCAGGAGAGCAAGAACCAGGATTTTGTACTTACATTGTTGGAGGGGGAGGGGGAGGGGAAGAAGAGGAGAGGAGGAGGAGG